TTTTTTTTTTTTTTTCTATTCTTTTATGCCCGACTTTTGAAAAATTGCAGTCGAGAAATCTCGGACATAGCATGCACTTAACGGATTATAGGAAAATTTCGCCTCGAAAATTTCACTTCAAATACGGGCGACGACAAGGAGTGTTGAGCAAAAGCTCGAGATCGATGTGAAACAGAGAAAGAGAAAGAGAGTCTCCCGTTTCGAGTTCACGAGAGGGTAACAACGATACCGGAAATGTCGGTGGAGTGTCTGACCGGAAGCTATTATATCCGTTGTCACGAACGAACTGCAACGTCTCGCTCGCCGCTGAGAATTTCAAAAACACACACATACACACACACACACGCCACGCACCACGCTGTGTTTACTCTTCTTAATCGTAACAATGCTCTTTTACTTTAATTACAAGTTAACGCGCCACGTATCTGCCGATTAATTAACACGGGCGTTGATAACAGCGGGCAGATTTCTCGGATCCTGAACAAAATGAAACGATGCGCCGTAATTCACCGCCCCGTTTCCCTTCCACGCGAGTTCCCACGATCCTCGCGATACTCTTTCTTCTGTAACACTTCGGCAAAAATGCGGAAGAGGAGTCCAGCACGAGTCGTTCGAAGATCAAACGCAGACCAAACTGCTGTAAAAGTAAAAGGAGAAAAATTCAAACTCAATTGTTGCTGTTCTGTAAACAGTTCTATCATCGTTGTTTGTCGTTGATAAATACCACTGAGAATGATAACGAAAGCTTACGCCGTGTAATCCTCCGTCCTTCTTTTCGAGAAGACGCCTGTGTGATGAACTGCCTGCGAGATATGAACTGAACGATATTGAAAACTAAGAAGACGGAATTACTCACGCAGCAGTGAGTATATCAGTCTCGACGTTGAAAAATAGAATTTGATAATAAGTGACCGATTCGAAACTTTTCAAAGAAATTTCATAGATTTACAACAATAGAAGCTTGTATTGTACAATTATTAAGTAAACATGCAGTGTATATCAGCCTTTATTCCTTGTACTTTAGTCCCTCGAATGTGAGGGATTCTAAGTGTACTTTAGTCATCGATTGTTCTGCTGTTGATTAAGATAATTTTTGCTTGCGCAAAAAAAAACAACAAGTGACAATTTAACCTCGATTACTTTCTCTTATTTACCTCTTGAATTTCCACTCGTTGGACGATCAACATCACTGGAGAAGACACCGAAATCATCGACCCTTCCGGAGTACATACATAGATTTCGGTCTTGCGAAACGCGAATGCGATCGCGATACGAACGCGACTGCAGACGAGAGAAACTCGGTACTCGGATTATCCGGAAACGCAGCCGTGGACGTGGACGTGGCTACCGGTCGGATCGATCCGCGCTCGTTCAACCGCGAAACCGTTTTAAGGATGGACCGATCTAGGATCCGCGAACGATCGACAGCGCGATCTCTGGCGCACTGTCGTCGCGTGTATACGTGCGACTGAAAATCTGGGACACGACAGCTCGCCACGGCTCGCGTCGACGCTGATAAAACACGCGGCGAGTCGCCACCATGAGCTGGATGCCACGACGCACGCCTGCGTGCACGCGTGCATTATCAACGAGCTTCTGATAAATCTGAAGCTGGCAAGATAATAGCACGCTCTATCTGCTTCCACTGAGAATCGTCAAAGGGGAAGACAGACAGATTATCATTTTCTCAAAGAGAAAATTAGTGAAGGATCCCTTGACACACGTGTGTAATTATTGTGAGAAACTCGGAAAATGACAGAATTCGTGCAATGTGCAAACATACACGAAATATCGAAGATATTTGATCTGATATTTAAATTCTACTGGATGTTACAACAATTGAATTTATGCTAGATTACTAAGATTCGGGATATTTGATTTTTATTTTATACTTCACTTTACCTTCCGTAATTGGTAATTAGCAACGAAATTCAATTAAGATCAAATATTGTGGGACTCTCTGAACTGAAAAAGTAATTTGAAATTTCCAAATTCTTCTGGCTCGCAATGACTTGATGATGATACCAATTAAGCATCGTAAGCATAATTTCATTACTTTGTTTTATTATATAAAGTGAAAGATTCGCGTAGCTGTGAATACTCACATTTCTCCGTTTCACAATGAGTTTCGAGTGCCTATTAATTTGCCAGCGAACAGGTGTCGCACTACTGAATGTGGGACAGCCTCGGGCAGTGTCATTCAAGCACAACCGGAATGAATCATAAACTATAAGGCAATCGAGTCACCGATATCACGAGTACAGATATCGATGATAAAAGCGTTCATACGTACACACATACGATTTCTCTCGTCGATGTGATCAAATACGATCGCACAAATGTACAAAGGAAATATTCCCAAATATGCATTTGGCTCGCTCGATTCGTAGCCAGATGAATTGAAACACGTTTCCTAGAATTCGTTGTAATTGATGTTATATTGTTTACGTAACTCCGAGTACAATAAAATCCATACGTTACCAACACAGAGTGTTACGTAAAAAAAAAAAGATAGTGAAGCTTCGATTGTGTACACGTGCAACGGGTACCAAGATGCGGATAAAAATCGAGATATCAATTAAAATAATTAGACAATCGGCGGACGTGCAACCAAGTCGATAAGAACTTCTAGCCATAGGAGTTCGAAGAGCTGTCGAAAATCGACTGATCATCGTTGGATATAACTACGAATCTGTCACTATCTCGAAGAAGAGAAGTAATCGATAAGGACGATTATGACGAATCGAATTTGTTATCACTTATTAGACTGACACAAATGAAATTTCGTTTTTTCTTTTTCAAGCAAAATTAATTGTTAAACAAGAAGTACGATCTTCAACATCCCGTACATTTAAAATCATTTAGAATGATTCACAATTTTCACACGACTTGACGTAATAAATCTGTCTCAGAGTCATCGATTTTTATTTAGTTAAATTCAACAGTTCCTAACAAATTTCAATCCTCAGTTTCTTGGTTTTCTTTCCAGCTTCTTCCACGAATAATTTATACGCGAGAAAATTAAGTATAAATGAAATAGGGAATCTCCTTGAACGAATAAATTTCTATTTCCTACGAATTTGATGCCACTTTCTTCACTTAAACTCGCATTTGAAAATCCTCTAAATATTTTAATCAATCCTGATTTGTCTATCCAATAACTTCCTGTATATTGTGACTGATAATCGATTAGATAAAGTTTAATCAATAATATTGACTGAACTTTCGGATGAACGACATTACCTATTCGTTCAATTCATTGATAATGCCACATGCCTGTACTTTGACTAATGTAATTTATCTCGTAATATCGTAATCAAATGTTTAATCGGTCGACACAGTGGTAGAAACGTGAGAAAGACTTTCATATCGCTTTTGTACAGGAAAGATGCTCGGAAGTCAACTCGTTATGAAATTATGAAAGCTTATAGCAACTTTGCCGTTGCCGAGCGTGTGAAGATTCAGGATGTAGAGTAACCGTCTGACGAAAGTGTCCATTAAAACAAATGGTCCCCTTCTGATTATCTGTTTCTGAAAAACACACACACACACACAGAAGAACACGTCTCGTCCATTCTTAGCATAATGACGCATAATAATATGTACTTGCGCTTTTGCATCGCAACCTTCGGATTATGAACATAAAGATTACGAACGTGATGCGACAATGTATTTGAAATTGAACCCTACACAGTCACTACAAAAAATTTAAGACAACACTATTTTCGCAAATTAAAAGCTTCAAGTGTCCCTCCAGCCTTCCGGGAATTTTGAATTCCATTCTTCGACGTATTGCTCGTAAATTTCCTCTGACGTATCCCAAAAATTCTCACTGGAGTTCAAGGCAGATAGAATGGATGCAATAATTTTAAACAACTGCACGATAATAAATACAAATATTAGAAAGTCGAGAAAGAGAGAGAGAAAGAGAGAGAGAGATATTCTGCAATGAGACCATAATATCGTTAATAACTGGTTTCTTAACAAGGGAGGAAGACAAAAGTTTTCTTCTCCATCAACGTTGGCATTTCCCTCGCTATTCTCGATCGTAAAACAGCCGAGCAGACCTTCCCACGAATGTTACAGGGATTTTGTAATCCGTCTGATAATTAACAATAATTTAATTCAGAACGACAACTATCCTCCTCTCTCGTCTCCCCTCTTCCCCTCCATTCTCTCTCTCTAAAATATACAATTAAAACACAAAGGAAGTTTTGTTATTTGCAGTATCAAGCGGTTGGTCGCGGGAAACAATTCGAAAATCAAGCGAATCGTTTGATAAGTCGCCGTGGAAAATGAAACATTAACACGGGAAAATTGAAACACAAAGAGGGAATCTTATTGACGGATATATATGTATATATATTCAGAATATCAAGTAGCTACACGCTGCGGCAACAATTTTTTTTGAACGCTAAACAAACGTTATTTGAGGATATATTTGAGAATGACGCAGTATTATGTTATCTAATTCGAAGGTAAAGTATGCGAGCCGCCAGCTAAAATCCGCCATCTAACACCGTGGAATTTGCATGTCAATCTGGAAATGTTCGCGGTCAGCAATTGTGCCGCGGTTAATTGGCAGTGAACGCGCCTCGAAAATTAAGGGGGCTCTCCACTGAGAACAGAATGAAACAGAATGGAACGGCATGCAAATGAATGAGTTGATCGTGCGCGAGATTTCTGTTTTCCGCCTGTTTGGTTAAGACACGCGTCAAGATATCTCGATATCGGAAGGAAAGAACTGATTTTCAGGCTTCCCGTTTCCTTCGACGCTCCCATATCCTTTAGATTGCGACGAAAATGTACACCTTCGATTTCATCAAGAAATCCTCGATCGTAGCGTTAAAGTAAATTTCAGAGTATCAAAGGATGCTGAGAAAACGAACAATCGATGTATGTATTTATAGCATAAAATAATAAATATAAAATAGTTAATTCGTTAATATTCTATTAATTGTAGTTGCGACAATTCTTATCGATGAACCACAAATATTAATCCTGCTCCCTTTATTTAGTCATTTTTTACTCACTCGCGTTCTCCCTCCCTGAAAAATCAGCGAGAGTAATTCGATCGAAGGGAAAGAAAGTCCTTGATAAAACGAAAGCGAGATTCAAACGTAATAATCCGAGAAGCACAGCAGGATTAATTAAACCTTGGATATGCATGATAAGACCGTGAGTTATTTCGGTGCACGTGACGTTATTTGAAGATTTTCCATCCTACGGAGAATCCCACGGAAACAAAAAGCTATCTGATCGATGAGATCGGCGAAATAATTTAGACTATCTTCCCCCGCGAACAACGCACGATCGTCGTCGAATTTGTGAAAGGTATCGGACTCGATGGATAAAAACGTCCGCCGAGAGAACTATATTAGATCGATGCTGTTTAGAGGCAAGTATCACAAGCAAATTTCGAAGGAACCAACACACTGGCTCGTGTTTTTGTAACGCGATCGTAGATTTTTTCACGGTTGTAGAAGCACAGATGTTGCGTAAACGTTGTACACACAGCAACGTCCACTTCGTGTTCGAGATAGAAAATTAACGAGAGTACAAAAATTATGACAATAAATAAAATTTAATACCGTTGACGATGATGATATCAAATATCAATAAACGTAAAATATCTAGTTAATTGCTGCCTGTGTTAGTGACACGGAGCAAACGATTTAATCGAGTCGCGTTCTTACCCACTCTCTTCCTCTTCAACCCCTATCGACGAGGATGTCCAAAGATACGATTACGCGCGTAGAAAATAAGTCAGACAAGCTTGGTTCGAAGTACGTAGTTATACGATCGTTACGACTGTTTTCACGGGTGTAAGAACACGGGAGATATTGCGTAAGAGAAGAATCTGCGGCATCGCAGAAACGAATCCCTCCCCTACCACCTTGGGATCTTCTCTCTTTCTCCGTTCGTCCGGTGTGGGAGCCCCGGAAAAGAGGGGCTCTCAAGAACTCCCCCCTTGTTTCTGCTCGATCTCTAAAGCCATATATATACCACCACTTCGTGGTAGCATCCTTCGAGAAAGAAACTTTGCCCGCAACACCGTGGAGACGGGAACTTGCTGGCGGAGGTCCAGCGGATCCGGGGACCGGTGATCGTATTCTGCCAAGATCCGAAATCGAAACTCGCCCCTAAGATAAATGAACACCACGTGGAAGGACGCTGCGGATTAAGGTGATTGGATCTTTCACGAAAAGGTAAGATTTCGTTTCCCTAAAGAACCTTGGGGAAATATCCTTGAACCCCTTCGACGTCCACTGTTCCGAGGGATAATAATGAGCAACGAATTTCCATCGAAGAATTAACCGTAATTTGAAATCTGACTGTTCGATTTTTAGATATTGATTGACTAATTAGACTTAAATTAAACTACCAGAGGCTGTAGAAAATACTATAGGAAACCGAATCATTTTGAAATATTTATCTCTTATTTTACTCTTATTTTACCCGATTGTTTCTAGTTATCTCGAGTCGAGAAGTTCGCCTGATTTTTCCTTTTTTTTTTTTTTCTTTTTCTTAGATGATCTCGCGGTACCAAGTTTTGTGCGCGCTGGTGCTATTCGGCGGGGCCCTGCTGTACCAAGCGATGGCGGTAAGTGACACGGCACGCTCGGCGATCCGCTCGGCATTTCCTTCTGAAACTCGTGTTCGATTCAAGCTTGCGTAATGTATTCACCGGAGAGTATCACGCGCACAATACCTTTACGAAACCTGGTGTTGAATCAAAGTGCGGAATTATTATATTCATTGTACTTTCTCACGTGCAACAATGACAGAGGGAGAAACTGGTATCTTCTCGCGTCATCTTCGCGGCATGAAGTAATTCATTAATTAACCCGTGTTGCGCGAGCGTGTTTTCTCGCGCGCTTCCTCGGACAAAGTCGTTCAGCAACGAGCTGTTTCAATTTCCACGTCTTCCCTCCGCTGATTCCTCCCTGATACCCGATGATGAATAAAGTTACGTAAAACTTTGTGTAGAAATGGATCCTGGATGAAATTCATCCAGAACGCCGAGAATTACGAAACGACGAGGCTCGAGCGTTCATCGACAGCTCTTTTATTATAGCCGGTTTATCGAAGGGCGATCGTGCGACTAGCGAGCCGCGAGCACATTCATTTTCACCGGAAACGACGGCCGTGAACCGAACGCGCATCGAAACGGAAGGGGACCGAATTTTCAATGCCGAGCCAACGGCCAGAAAACTGAGAATGATTAATTAACCCGTCGATGGTTATCGCGTTCAACATTCACGGTACGCGCCTCCAGAAATTCTTTCTTAATTCCTTGAAGAAATCGTGACGTTCTTCTTTGACGTCCAGTTTTATCCAGTTTAGTCCAGAGCTATCTCCTGAATTTAACAGTCGTCCATTTCGCACGAGATCGACGCGTCTCCGATGGGACATCTTTTTAAAAAATCGATTCTAGAGACTATCTCTATTCAAGGTGAAGGAATACTCAATCGGATCTTAAATCCACCATTGTATTTTGAGTTCTTCAATTTTCCATTTTTAATTCTAGACGATCATCTACTACATCTTTATACGAGACTGATGCACCTTTTTAAAAGATCTTCATATTTCTCAATCTGTGCAACGTCAATTTTAGAGATTACCTCTTTTGAAGGTGAAAGTTCAACGATCTTAAATCCACCATTGTGTCCCAAATACTCCAACGTCAAAATTTTTAATTTTAGACGGTCATCACCTAATCTCTGCACCTTTAATTCTACAACTCCTCTCGCGCGAAATTTCTCAGAGTTCCTCCTTCAAATTTCGTTCGTCCAACGAAATCATCCAATTGGATGATTTTGCACAAGATCGATCTACTTGCGACAGAGCAGTCTGAGAGGTTGCGTCTCTTCTTGCGAGGAATCAGGTTCAATGATCTTTGAGGGGGGGAAAAAAACCCTGACCTACCCTAACCTCGTCGCGCGGTGGGACTGCACGGTGGGACTGCAGTCGGCCGTGCTTTCCTCGCCGAGCGTCGAAATCACTCGTGTCACGTCGAGAGGGTGGAGGCAGAGCGTCTTGCGGTTGCGCGTCGTCGTAGCTGGACGGCAGCTCGAATACAAAGGCACACAGAGATGCGCATCCGCTTGCGGGGAACAATGTAAGCCGACTTCCGGTCAAACGGCCGGCTCGCACACGCACTGGAGTGGCTC